AGGCTGGCTTCTGAGCATGAACCATAGGCAGAGGCACCTCTCCTCCCTTTGTCACTTCTCTCCATTGTCACCTCTCCTCTCCTATTCTACCAGGATAGGACTTGTTTATTCTTTAACATCTGCGCTCAGCCAGGGGTCTTCCTCAGCCCCGATGCCTGAGCTGTCAGGGACAAACAGGCAGACAGGTGTTAAAACACTAAAATAGGTCAGATTAATGAAGAGCAGCACTTGGGAGCCAACTGGCACGCACTCATCCCTGGGTATCCAAGGGGACTTGGTTTCTGAGCCCCCACAGGTACTGACACTTGTGGCATGGTCCTTACCACCCTCGCCTCACAAACCCTTCGTGCCCTAGGTCACTTTATAATGCCCAACACTGACCTCCCTGACCTAAGGAGCAATCGGATTGTATTGTTTAAGGAGAATAACAAGAAAGAATACTTGTGCATGTTCGGTATAGTCACAGCTATTTTCCAAATATTTTTAAATCTGGCTGAGTTCACAGGTGCAGAATCTGTAAATGGGGAGGGCCAACTGTACCTGCAGGTGAAACTGTAGGATGTGTTGTTGACTGCTCTGAGGTTCTGGCACAGATGGAGGCTGACCAGCAAGCATGCCTCATCTCTAACTCCTAATAAGACCCTGAGACCGAAGGCCCCTTCTTGGAAGGGGAAGAGCCAGGATTTGAACACACTGTTACTCACTTAAAAACTCATTTTCCTAACCCTGCAGATTCCAGTATTCCAAAGATTTTATATACTGGTGCACCTAACAGTCCTCTGCAATGTTAGGTCACCAACACACAGGGCATTCATAGATCTGCTCCTATCCATTCACTGGCCAGCATTTATTGGACTCTTGCTGTGTGATAGGGACTGAGTTGAGCACCTACTGTGTACCAGGGAATTAATAACTACCCTCATGAATCCAGTATGTATTTGTAGGGTTTCTGCATCCTGGGGCTCCCCTGGTTCACTCTATATGTATTTACTGAGCATCTGACATGGATTAGGGTGTTAATCTAGGTGGTGGTACTAAATAGAACAGATATTTCTAACATGGGGCTTGCCTCTCTGTAACACCAGGAGGCAGATGTGGACTCCCCTGTTTCTCAGTCAAGGAAATTCTGGCCTGGACCATGTAAGGCAGCAATCCCAATGCCAGTGTCACTCAGGGTAGCACCAGACAAGGTCCCCAGCCACCAACCTCTGATGTCAGAGGTAGTGTCATCCTTGTATTGACCACAGAATCTTGCAAAAGGTCACAGAGACAAGTACATTGTTCTGTATTTGCTCATCTACATGGGACTCCACCTCAGCTATCTCCTCTGCAGCCAATGGAGTGTTCCCTGTCCCTTGCTCTGCTTGGAGGTCATAATGCCTACCTCTCAGGGTTGCCATGGAGGCAGGGGAGGCAGGTGCTTTCTTCCCTCATCCTAGCACATGAAGGTACTGTGGCTGTGATCATCAACTGTCTCTGCATTTGAGCCACCTCAATGTTTGTTCTTTGGAGATACTCAGGAACTTCTGCAGACTTGTGCCCCTGCTGGTCTCTCAAAGGCACCAGGCCTTCCTAGCAAGGCAGGACTCAGCCCTGGACCCTGCTCATGAAGCCAAGGCCACACCTGCATCACTCAGGGCTAGAAGCCTGGGCCATCTCCACCTTACACACACACACACACACACTACACACCAGTCTGGACCTGCACACCCACATCCGTGTTCCTCCTGGGACACTCCATCCCCTCTCCATTCCCCTCCATCCCTCCTCCATTCCCCTCTCTTGTACTCACTTCTGTCTCCCCCCACCCCTCCCCCACAAGCTGGGCCCTTCATCTTCCTTCCAGTCCCTACTTCTCTCCCACCCCCTGATGGTCTACAAGTTGCCTCTTTCTTGCTCTGCTCCATCTCCTCCCACTCCCTGGTCCTCTTCTCTTAAGCGCCTTTGCCCTTCCCTTCCTCCTCTCATCTTGCTTTCTCCTCCTCCTCCACCCTGATTAGACCCACCATGTACTGGGAACCCACTGTGAGCCAGGCTGAGACGGATGCAGGGCTAAGAGACAAGATGCTGCTGACCCGAGTTTGGGGCCTTTGACTCTTCCTCCTCCCCTTCTCCTATGTGTCTCCTCCGCACCTTCTTCCCCATCTTCCTCCGGCCTCTGGTCATTCTTCCTTTCCTCCCACCTTGCCCTGGCATCTGAAGCCAGCAGTCATGGTGGGAACTGGGAACAATGGGACTGCAGAGTCCTAGGAGAGCAGGCAGCAGGCACCCTTGATGTCATCATCCACCCCTACTGGAAGGCGATGGATGAGACGGAGGCCTGAGATACATTCATCACCCCCATCTCCTTTCAGGGACAAGACAGCATGGAAACGACTTTTGTCAGCTTGGGAGCAACCCACTGGCCCTGACAGCTCAAAGCTGTTTATTAAAAAGGAGAATGAACTGAAAAGAGTGTGACTGCCACACTGCAGCACATGTGCATGTGTGTGCATGCATGTGTATGAGTGTGCATGCATGTGTGTGTGCACTCGTGTGTCTGTTGAAGGGGGATGCTCCAAATACTGCTCTCCACAAGCATGCCTTTGGGTGACTGGAAAGCAGCCACTGGGCTCCACATGCAATGCTCAGCCAGGTCCAGCTGTGATGGGACAAGAAGTGACAGGCAGGACGCAGCGAACAAGGCAGCAGCTGTGGGAGAAGTATGAAGCTTTTGTCTTAGCACGCAGGACCTCCCTCTTCTTGGTCACTGCCCATGTGGTAGTCAGTTTTTCCTTTATCCATCTTAATGCCACTTGTGGTCTCATGTGTCTAGTGGTGGGTTACATCTGGAGGTGGGAGGTTAGGGATGCGATGGTAATCAAAGCCATTTGCGGTTGGCTGTTATGTGATCCTGCATTCCTCTTGATTGAGGAACAGGTGCCAAGCACAGAATCAGGAGATTCTCCTTTGTTTTCCTAACCAACTGCCCATGAGGCCAACATTGCAGAGCAGGGAAAGTGGGGCTCCCCGAAGTGTAGGAGGACTCACAGAACAGGGGCTGAGGATGGGGAGGTCCTGGCTCATTGTCATTGTCCACACTCGCTCTGCCCATTCGGCAACACGGAGCAGGGATCAATGAGTGCAGCCAGCCCTTCCCTCCATCCTTACGGAACTGTAGGCAGGGCCCACAATGGTCTGGTGGCATCTCATGGGTGCCATGCTGGCAGGATCCTCTAGGAGAGAAACCCACGGAATGGGTGAGGCTCTGGCCTCCAGTGTCCATGGAGTCATAATAACAAAATACCATGGTCCAAGTAACTTATAAACCACAGAAGTTGACTCTTCAACATCTGCAGGCTGGAAGTCCAAGTTCATAGCACCATCAGATTCATTGTCTGGCTCCTGGGTGGCTGTCTTCTCTATCCTGGTTTGGAAGAATGGGGCAATTAGGTTGCCTGGGGCCTTTGGGGGGGGCAGAGGCCAAACTGAGATGGGGTCTCAGGATCCCTCCACCTTGGGTTTTGAGACAGGTTCTCTCTCTGGCTTGGAGGTCTCACCTGTGAGCACAGCTGGCTGGCTAGTGATCTGTAGGGGCTACCAGCTTCTCCCTCCTCAGTGCTGAGATGGCAAGTCAGCACCACTGTCACACCCGCCTTCATACGCTTGCCGGTTCAGATCCTCACATTTGTGTGCCAAGCACTCTACCAACTGAGCCATTCCCCTAGCCCTGGGGCATTGTATAAGGGTAAAAATAGGGTATTAGTCCCGTGCAAGAGGCTCGCCCTGAAAGCTAGTAACCCCCAAGACTCCACCACCTAACACCTGTGGGTTATAATCACAACCTAAGAATGTGGGGGTTGGCAAAGACCCGGACGCCTAGCTAGCTGTGCCTTCCTGTCCCCCGTCAGTCGTCTCCTCTGGGGACCTCACTGTGGCTGTGTCCTCTGATCCCAGAGTAGCGCCCCTCATGAGGTGGGGCTGAGGTGGAGGCGGCAAATTCCAGTCAAGAACAGGATGCTTTTCTCAAAGCATCCTGGCCACCTTTGGGCTGTGGCCGACCTCCTACACTTGTCCCCATTGTCACAGCAAACAACTGGAGCCGGAGTGCACCTTGCTCCCACCTTACCTCCCACATGGCCAGCTCTGGCAGCTTCGTCTGCCATTCCCAACCCTGACATCTGGCGCTTCCTTTCTGTTTCTAAGTAAATTGTGAGACTTCACCGGTGGGTGGACAGGGCCTTGTTTCCCTAAGGGAGTTTTTTATTAATGGAAATGATGCTGTCCTGTCACCTCTCTGCTTTAAAGCATGTCCTTTATTTTACGGTCTATAATTCAAGGCTCTGACTTTGGGGACATGATGTACAATCTGCATCCCAGAATAGAAACTGCCTATCGTTGTCACCCCCCCACACACACACTGCCCCCTGCCTCCCCCCCACATAGACACCTGCCTTTGAGTTGATTTTATGTGAACTTTTTCCTTTAGGGGGAATGGTTTTTAGCAGCCCCCCATCCTCCATTCCATGAAGCCATTATAGATCTCTTGAAGTACCTCACCAAGACACAACTGTGGCACTCGGTGCTACAGCACCCCGCTTGTTGTAGTCACCCTCCGAGTTTGGCCTTGAATACATAAGTTATCCTGCATGCTTCCTCTCCAAGCATGGAAAAATTAATTACTTAGTTATCACACACCAGACTCCGGAGCGACGTTCTATCGTGTCAGATAGAATGCCCCATAAGTCCAAGTCACCCATAGTAGCCAAAGTGTTTATCCACTCAAATGTACTTAGCTGGGTTTAATTATAGATAGAAATTGCATCTCAGAAAGCAACACAAAAGTCATTTACACAGCTGGAGTTTCCACATGAAATCACATGACTCACTCGAGGCTGCAGCAGGGACCGCCTTTACAGAGACAAAATAACACTCATGCCCAGGCTTAGTAGCTCTCATGTGGGTCTCGAAAATAGTATGAATTGTGGTTTCTAGCGGTTGTGTCTTTCTTCTTGACACAGGGCAAGTGAAGAGGCCGGAGATGCTGAGAAGCTGAGACCAGCATCCCTGGCACTGACTGAAGACTGGGACTCTCCCAGAGAGACCTTGAGGAGTGGTTCTGTGTCTCTCCACCCAGCCTTCCCCCAAAAGCCCTACCATTTAGGAGATGGGGAAGGCTTTGCTGTCCATAAGAAAGACACCCCAGAAGAACCAGGTACTCTGTCTTCATCTCCCACTAGTCAGAGCATGGCTATGTCTCCCCTGCCCAGGGATAAGCTGCCCAGTCCGTCAGCTGCTCTCTCAGAATTTGTGGAAGAGCTCCGCAGGAAGAGAGCCCAGAGAGGCCAGGGTTCCTCTCTGCACCTGGGGGAAGGACCCACGCTCCCAATTTTCCAGACCACTGGGGCTTACTCTCTTAGGAGGGGCAGAGCCAGCAGCGATGAGGGAGACCTCTCACTGAGGACTGGAGCAAAATCCCCTCTGCAAGCAGAGGGGAACCCCAGGGCCACTGCTGGTCTCTCACGGTCAACCAGTCTCAAGTGTATCCCCTCAGAGGGCACTGAGAACATCACCCTGCCACCTGACAAGCAGAAGACACGGTTTGGTTCCTGTGAGTCCCTCTTAGAGTCAGGACCCAGCACCAGGAGAAAGCTGAGCTCCCCAATGGCACTCAGGGACCCTCTCTCGTCACCTACCCTGCGGCCCAGGAGGCGGTGTCTGGAGTCCTCGGTGGATGAGGCAGTCTGCCTAGACCTTGGGAAGGAACCTCTTGTCTTCCAGAACCGCCAGTTCTCTCATCTGATGGAGGAAACTCTAGACAGCGACCCCTTCAGCTGGAAGCTTCCGAGCCTCAATTACAGACGCCAGACCAAAGTGGACTTCGATGACTTTCTCCCTGCCATCAGGAAGCCCAGTGCCCCTTTGTCTGAGGCTGCCAAAGACGGGAAGGAGGCATCAAAACATCCGAATGTCCACTTTGAGATGGAAGAGGCCGACCGCTCTTTTCTCTCGGGGATCAAAACCATTTTGAAAAAGAACCCAGAGTCTAAGGAGGACCCCGCTCACCTCTCTGACTCCTCCTCATCCTCCAGCTCCATCGTATCCTTCAAAAGTACAGGCAGCATCAAGAGTGGTCCACGAGTGCCAAGACTCCAAGGTGACGGTGGTGAGCGCATGTCCCCTGAGCACAGAGAGCCTGGCCCTGGGAGGAAATGTGATGATGTTGAAAGTATAATGCGGAAGTATCTCCAGCAGTAGGGACCAGTGCAGGTAAGGACAGCAGGGGAGGTCACCCCCAGGCCAGGCATCCTCCAGGGAAATGGGGGTTCTGCTTTAATCTTGGGGTAGCTTGCTCCAAGGTGTCAGGGCTGTAGCTGAAGTCACATATGGCCCTATATGATGTAGGAGGATGCATTGAAAACCAGGGGGTCCCGGGGATGATGCTGAAAACGGGGACAGAGGAGCTGGGCAGACAGCAAGTGCTTTTCCAACAAGAATGGGGACTTGAGTTTTGGATCCCCAAGACCCATGTAAAATCCAGGCAGGTGTGGTGGCCACCTCAGGAGGTGTTGACAGAGGAGACCTGTCTGGCATCTAGGCTAACCAAACAGACAAGCCCTGGGTTCGGCGAGACCCTGACTCCACATATAAGATAGAGAGAGACTCAAGAAGACACTAGATGCCAGCCTCAGGCCTTGGCAGGCACGTGCTTACACATCCATACACATGCACATCCATACACATGCAAACGAGAGTGGCAGGTTTGTGTGGTGGCTCAGTCAATACAGTGCTTGCCTTGCAAGCATAGGACCTGAGTTCGATCCCCCATGTAAAGACTGCTGAGTGTAGTGGCATGTGTGCTTGTAACTTGGTGAAGAGGTGACAGTGGGTGACTGGGGCTCTCTGGTCAAGCCCTACTAGCCCAGTTAGTGAGTTCTAGGTTGAGTGAGAGATACTGTCCCAAAAGGCATGGTGGATGTCTCCCAGGGAACAACTCCTGAGGTTGTCCTCTGGTCCCAACAGGCACACACGTGTGCACACATACAGCTGCATGCACACACGTGTACACATGAACACAAAGACAGTGGCAGCCTTTCAGCAGCCCCATTGGATCTCATTTGCTTAACTTCCTTCCACTTGGGGTCCAAGGGGCTGGTGTGGGGTTCTCTCTAGGGAAGGTTCTCACTGAGCCACCGAAGGTCAGGCCGGAGGACGCATAACAAAGGGTGAGATCAGCATTTGCTTTATCTGTAGAGAGAAGCTGGAGCCAGGGATGGGGGACAGGAAACATGTGCAGAGTCCTGAATGACAGAAGAGAGCAGCTGGGGTTTTTTCCACCCCACCTCTGTTCCCAGCCCTAATCCTGCTTCTTTCCCACGTCAGGCACAGGACAGGTAACCCTCATGTGAGGACTGACCTCTGTCAAGTGCATGTATCAGCTGTGGATTACAGCTCATGATAACCCAAGAGGTGGTTAGCACTGGTTACCATTTATCCCCATTTCACAGGTCGACCAACTAAGGGTCAGAGAGTTCAAACTCACCCAGGCAGACCTGAGACCCTGAACTCCAGAATCCTTCCATCTCTCTCCAAGGCTCACCCTTAGGTCCCCCCCCCCAGGTGTCTTAAGCAAGGATGTCAGTGCTGCTCTGTATGCCCTACACAGCCAACGCGAACATCCCACTACAGAATCTCAAAACCCAAGGCCGAGGCCACCAACCTGTGGCACGCAGTTGCTCAGCGTGCACACACAGCCTCCAGGCCGCCTGGAAGCCCGTGCTCAGGCACACCTACTCCTTTGAGAGGCACCCTCGGCCCATTGTCAAGTCACTGCCCCTTCCGCAGAGACCAGCTTGGGCTGCATCCGAGCAAATTAATTTGACTCGGGATGGCCTTCTCTCTGCTCTCAATTACCAAGTAAAGATCTGATATTCATTTACATTATTATGCTCTTGGGGACAGGGGAAGCAGTTTCAAAGGCCAAGTAAAGGGCACACGTTCACAAGAGGATGGTGCTTGGTACACACTGACCCAGAACACCTTGTCTCTGCATTATTTTTTTAACTCAAGTGCCCTCTTCCCTCTGAGAGATGTATCTCACTGCACTGGGGCGCACTGGCCCCAGATCTCCCAGATTTCCAAGCTGGGGTTCTAAACCACACCCAACAGCCCATACAAACCCCAGACCTGGCTCCTCCCTCCCATACTGCTAGCCTTGAGACCACAGGTGAACCATGAGGCCTAATCAACACCTGTGTCTCCAGTAGGGTGCATACTGTGCAGTAACCAGTGCCTGAAGGCTTAATGAGAATTTAAAGGTTCAGCTGGGTTGGTGTCACATGCATGTGATCCCCATGCCAGGGAGGTTTGAACAGGAGGGTCATTATTTCAAGGCCAGCCTGGGATATGTAGTAAGACCCAGTCTCAAATACACATGGGTGCACACACATAGACAGAGGAATGTATACACACATAATACACATACATGTATATATACACATACACAGGTGTTCATACACACAGATACATATATGCACAAATGTGCACATATACACAATGTACACATGCACTTGTGTACATAGACATACACACAGATGCATGCATACACAATATACATATATACACAATGCATACATACACACATGTACATACACATGTACGTGTATACAGACATCCATTCGTATATATATATATATATATATATATATATATATATACATTCACACATCCATACACACATTCACACACACACATATATACAGAGACATACACACATTTTCACATACACAAGAAACTGAAACAGCCTCTCCACTGGCCTCAGCTCAGTGACGAGCAGTTTGCTTTAACTTGGACACTTGGGTCCCGTGTGGGCCTGCTTCCAATTCCTGTGACCCACTCACCAAGAAGAAAGTTCATCAGTGACTGGGGTTCTGGAAACTCTGGTTCGTGATGGATGGGCTCTGTGGCTTTGGGCCTGTGGAGAGTACTACAAGGCACAGCCAGTCCCTCAGGGTGGACAGAGAAGAGGAGAGAGAGGAGACTAGGGTCCACAGTGGCCTCATAGGGTGTCTCCCCAGTGACCAGAAACAGCCCATGGGACCCCTACACTTGACGTTTTCACCACCTCCCGTATCGTCATGCAAAGATGATAAACTTGGGCCTTTGGGTACGATCCAGAGCCAAATAATAGCGTCCCAGACTGCACCTCATTCTTCATCTCCCCTGTGTTTTCTTCCTGCCTCCTTAGATACAGCTTCCACCAAAGACGCCCTACTCCAAAGTTTTGGAGAGAAAGAGACCCCCAGGCCCTGGGGCCCGCCATCCAGAGCCAGACAACGTGGCCACCCTCAAGATGTGGGCTGGGCCCAGAGAGACATACCCCAGCAGGTCACCAGGCTATACCTGTGCTTGGTCTGTACAAATAAAGTTGGCTTTCCTGGAGTCTGTGTGGTTTCTCTGTTTGGGAACGGCCACCTTGGACTCTGTTGGGGGTCAGAGAGTGAGAGACCAGAAGGAGGAGACCAGCCCAAGTGCTTAGTGACGTGGGTTGAATGTCGTCAGTTCCTGCCCACTGTGTCTACAGGCCCTAGCGTGTCTCTTCATCAGACCATGGCCTGAAGTCAACTTTGGGTGTCTTCCTCTGCCATTCTTCACCTTATTCTTCCAAGACAGAGTCTCTCTGATTTATACTTGCCAATCCAGAGTGCCAGGCTGGCCCCGGGCATCTGGAACAACTCCCCTCCTCAGTGCTGGGATTACAGTTGTGCACCAGTGTTTCTGTCATGTGCTAAGACTTCATGACCGTGGCAACTAAGAGAAGGAAGGGCTTGTGATTCCAGAGGGATTCGAATCCATCACCATCATGGTAGCAAGTGGCAGGCTTGGCAGCTAACCCAGGATAATACCGGTTCTCATATCACGAATCATGAGCACAAATCAGAGAGAGCAACTGGAAATGATGTGAGTCTAAACTCTCAGAAGCCACCTCAGTGACACACTCTTCCCAAACAAGGTGGCCAACTGTGGACCACGTGCTAAAACACAGGCGCCTACAGTGGACATTCATCCACACCACCACAACCATCAAGCCCAGCTTTCACACGGGTGCTGGGAGCCACACTTGGGCCCTCTTGCTAGTGCAGCAAGCACCCTACTGACGGAGCCATGTCCCAGGCCCAGATCATTGTCCTCCATTCCTCTGGATCCCCACATGTACCTCCACCCTTCCTGTCATTTCTGCTGCTCTGCTCTCTGAGTATACAAGAACATGCAAGCCCTCACACACCTTCACTCTGTCTGTCCTCACCTTCACTCTGTCTGTCTGTCCTCACCTTCACTCTGTCTGTCTGTCCTCACCTTCACTCTGTCTGTCCTCACCTTCACTCTGTCTGTCTGTCCTCACCTTCACTCTGTCTGTCCTCACCTTCACTCTGTCTGTCCTCACCTTCACTCTGTCTGTCTGTCCTCACCTTCACTCTGTCTGTCCTCACCTTCACTCTGTCTGTCCTCACCTTCACTCTGTCTGTCCTCACCTTCACTCTGTCTGTCCTCACCTTCACTCTGTCTGTCTGTCCTCACCTTCACTCTGTCTGTCCTCACACACATTCACTCTGTCTGTCCTCACTTTCACTCTGTCTGTCCTCACCTTCACTCTGTCTGTCCTCACCTTCACTCTGTCTGTCTGTCCTCACCTTCACTCTGTCTGTCCTCACCTTCACTCTGTCTGTCCTCACCTTCACTCTGTCTGTCCTCACCTTCACTCTGTCTGTCTGTCCTCACACACATTCACTCTGTCTGTCCTCACCTTCACTCTGTCTGTCTGTCCTCACACACATTCACTCTGTCTGTCCTCACTTTCACTCTGTCTGTCTGTCCTCACACACATTCACTCTGTCTATCTGGAGTCTCTCTTGGTGTGCAAATTCCCATTTACAACACTCAGGATGGGTGGGAGCCCACCCTAACAACTTAGTTGAAGGCAATCCTCTCTTTAAAGGTCCCAGCTATAAACATGACTTGTTTAGATGGTACCAAGATCTCTTGCATTTTTAGAGGATCACAGTGTGACTTATGGCTTGTACAATGAAGTAGCTTGTGATGGTTTACCACGTTAATAAAAGTCTTACTATCTATTTGACTATTAAGTAAACATGTGTCATCTCCCAGTGTTGTCCCTAAAGCAAGGCCATTTTGGACATTGGAAATAAATTTACACGGCCCTCCTGGTGTCTGAGTGTCATGACTCTTCTGTGCCAGGAATACAGAAGCTTCTGTGGCATTTTCTACACCTGTAGTTCTCATTCGACCAAGATTTGAAGTCATCTGCTCAGTGCCAGGCACTGGTCACCATGCAGAGGCAAAGGGACAGGCAAAGGACCCTACTTTTCTGTGGAGGACTTTGTAGTTGCAGAGACCCAGACAAGAAGCAGGGGAACCAGTCTGCCGCCAGAGACTGAGACACTGTGGGAAGAATGAAGTTGAGAAAACATTTGTTCCTGAAACACATTTTTATAAGAAAGAAAGCTGTCATCACTCTCCCTTCATGTACACTGACACCTCCAGAAAGGTCAACTCTGCTAACAGCGATGAGGATTTCCCCCTCCGGTCAGGAACAGATTCTAAAGAGGGTGATTAAGAGTCAATTTGCTAAACCAGACTAATGGTGGCCTGTGATCCTAGCATCGAGGCCAGGCAGGAGGATGGCATGCTGGAGGGCAGTCTGTGCTCTGCAGATAAAGTCTGCTTCAAGACAGCAACAACAGTAAAACACAGGGCAGGGAGACGGCTGGATCAAGGAGTCTGTTGTCCAAGCATGAGTTCAGATCCCCAGAATCGGTGTGAAAAGGCAGGGCGTGGCGTCATCCAGCGCTGGGAGTCAGCGGGGAACAGCCACTGTGGACATTAGCATGGAAGGGGGGGCCCCACATGACACTGAAAATGGAAACACACAACCGGGCTCTCCAGCTCCTGGCTTAGACTGCTGTATGTCCACAACAGGCAAATCCAAACTAGGTGCCCCAAGCAGAGGCACGGTTAAGAAACAGGCCTCGAGTACACACGCACTCAAACAGAGGCACGGTTAAGAAACAGGCCTCGAGTACACACGCACTCAAACAGAGGCACGGTTAAGAAACACGCACTGAAACAGAATGCCCTCAGCCGTAAAGAAGGGGCTGTGACACTGTGTGCAGGGAGATAGTCACAACTGGAGACAGGCATTTTTAGTTAAGAGGATTAGGCCGATCGCAAAAGACAAATGGGGCATGTTTTCTCTCACTTGTGGACCCATGATTTCACATGGTCACATAAAAACCATGGGTGTGTATAGCACACAGAAGTAGAGGCGACTTAGTCTGTGAGGGAACAAAGGGACCTAAAGAGAGGCAGGGGTGGGAAAGAGAGGGGTGGGGAATGTGTTGATATACAACGAATGCTTGTTTCAAATGTTTAAGATGGAAATCAAAGCAATGCCAAGTGTAGCAGCAGCAACTCCTGGTCTCGAACTCACACTCCCCCCACCTGTCTTCACTTCGCCAGGTAAGTCCCTTCCTCAGGCATCAGCCTTCCCCAGCTTCCAAGTGGGGGCAGGTCTCTCCACAGCCCTCCACATCTGCACTTCCCCGAGAGGGTGCAGCAAAGCCCACAGCCCCCTGCATAGGTGAAGTCCACTCGCCCAGGTCACCGCTGTGTCTGCCCAGCTGTGACACTCAGGACCCAGCTCCTGATTGATGCTAGAGATATTTGCTCACAAAACATTATCCCAATGGTGGACACACCCTCCTCACGGGGAGGGGGGGGTCAGCCCAGTTCAAACAGCTCACAAACGCTATGTCTGCGTGGGGTGAAGGTTCCGGGTGAGGAGAGCAGCGGGCAGGGAAGAGTAACCCATGAGAGAGAGCTGATCACACCTGCAAGCTGGGGATAGCTTCCCAGGCAGAGCAAAGCTCCTGAGGCCAGAGCAGTGGCGGCCTTTTTGAATACCTTTAAGGGCTTTGGCATCCAGGGATGACATGAGCAAGGGGCAGAGAGCAGCAGACAACTCCTAAGAGGAGGAGTCAGTCGTGTAGGGCCGTGCTCTGTATGGTCCAGAAGAGAAATGATCTACATGATCTGTGATAGCCATATTTTTAGTTCTAAATAACTGAGTGGTTTATTAAGTATATATTGCCTGCCAAAGTAAAAGGAGGAGACACACACACACACACACACAGAGAGAGAGAGAGAGAGAGAGAGAGAGAGAGAGAGAGAGAGAGAGAGAGAGAGAGAACAAAGTATGAAATCAAGGGCTGAAAACACCCAGCAGAAACCAACGAGGAGACTGAGGCATCTGCAGAATCCCCGGTTGAGTTTTCTTGGCTGAGCTTCACTTTGGAATCTCAGGGTGAACCACAGACACTGTTGGGAATGTCTCACTTTACAGCTGTTCTCAAGACACTGTGTCCACTCCCGGGCCACTCTGCCATTCTGCCTCCTGCCTGTCACAGAGTCGGGGGAGCAATGTATCCAGACGAGAGCCCTGGAAGACACATACATGCACCTCCTTGGGTTTGAGGTGCATGTGTGTGGGGGGCGGGGAGGAGGCAACCCAGCTCCTCAGTGACCTCAAACAGCCCATGACAGCATGCCAATAGGATGTGCATTACAGGCCATGTAGGACTCCATAGAAACCTTTGCTTCCCTCTGGGTGGGAAGCAAAGTGGAGGATTTCAAGGTGAGCAACATCCCCCACTTTGCCCAAGATGGAAGGGGCTCCCAGCAGGAAGATGGCCTTCAAGTGCTAAAACAGGAGCATCCCCGGTGACACCAGGACTGCCATGGGCTTCCGGGCACAGCTGTGACTTTGTCTTCCTGGGATGTGAGATTTTGGCTCAGAGAAGGCTTTGAGGGGCCGGAGCTCCACTAGGGGAGCCTGTTAGTGCCATGGGTTCCTGGACACTTCAGCCTGCATTCACCAAAACCAGGTCGGCACCTGGGTTCACACAACCTCACCATCCACCGCTGTGCCCTCAGGGGTGTCTCCGGGAAATGGAGAGGGCTGGTGCAGCCAGCATCCTGTGAGGAATAGAGAGCACGACCAGGGGACAGGCACCTGGACAGCACCCAGCCCACAGAAATGGCTCCAGTGTCCAGCTATTGCCTCCTTCCAGGTCCCCTCCGCAAGTGTCACTGCAGGTGAAGGCTGTTTTTCGGCCTTCCCGGGAACCTGGTGCAGCTGCTCTGGCCGCAGGATAGGAAATATTTATGTCCTCTTTTACTAAAGGTAAAGGATTTCTTAGGGACGCTGATTAGCGTGCAAGCTGCCTCCAGGCTACACGGTAAATACGCAGAATGGAGTGCTCAGAGGCCCGCATTTGTCGGGAGAGCTAGAACAAAGATGCCCGAGGACTGTAAACACAGGGCAGGCCTCTCCCAGCTGGGAATTTCTTCCACTCTGTTCACCA